GCCTCCAGTCATCTCTATATTCACTGATTTTCCAATACCAATAATCTACACTATCTCCACTACTTCATCTATGCCATCAAGTTTTTTCCTATGATGATATCATCAAGCTTTTACCCTATTAAAAAAAGTCAACATCACATACAAAAAAGTAAGCTAAATCTGTAGACATGCAATTACCCTTTATTCGCTGAACAAGGGTCAAATAAAAACAGATGTCAAGAATTTTATTTAACATTAGCTCATCATTTACTAATTTATTCATCATTAACTAATGGTTAACATGAATGAGATGTGATTGATATTAACACACATATGTTAACATGTGTAGACACATGCCTATGCATATATATACACATAGATAGATATAAAGTTTAATTTGAAAAAGCTGAGATTGCTGAATGAGACACAATAAAAAACTGATTAATGTATTACAGGGCTTTTGGAATTGCTGTTTCATTAGTCAGAAACCGTTTGCATTTTTACTGGACAACCATCTACAAGCTCCTCTCTGGCACCATATTGAGCTGTAAAATAGGCAGAGAATAGAAAATCAAGCCCAGCACTTCTCTGAAAGAACCCCCAGTAACCTCTTTTGTCTATTTTGAAGTTTTGGATTATTTTAGATATTTGAACTTTTCAAAACTCTCCCCTGTCCACTCTGCTCCTGTGATTACAAAAAATCTTCAAAGCTTGCTTCTGACCACAAAAAGCTGATCTTTTTGCATTTGGGCTGGGGCAAGAGTGTAAACTAACCATATAACCCTCCTTGAATTTACTCTGAAAATCTAGACTCTACAGTATTGAGCAAAGACAATTGCCAAAAAAATTTACTTCTATTCAGAAAACTTCACTAGAAACCTTATCAGATTTGAAATAGCCTCTCTCATGTACTTTTCTATCCTGAGACCAGGAAACCAAGCCCAAGGCATTCATTCCACCAAATTTCACTCATCGTATTTACGCATTTGAATAATTTCTCTTGAAGTCTGAAAATTCTTCTGAAGTCCTTGACCTTCTAGGAAGTGGTTCCTTTATAACTTGGGAACTAAGCCCAGGCCCCTGTTTTTAGAAGAATTTTAAGGCAATAGCTCCTCAAATAAAGCCAATCCTTCTTCCTTTATTACTGGGCTTGTCTGACCTGATTAAATGAGAACCATTCTCTAACATAACAGTCCTGTGTGATTTGGAATATGCACAATTCATTTGTCCAATTGTGTCCTGGTACAAAGGAGAATAAATGCTTCTGATGCTCAGTAAAAGTATTTGTGTCTGAATTCTAAGAGACAGTAAGACACAACACCAGTTAAAAATATTTGATTTCAGTTTACCAGTTCGTCGCCTACTAAACTGATACTTAGAGACTGGTAGAGAACAAGTAGAAAAGGCCTTTTTGTGTGTCCATGAATGTTATTAAAGAGTGCTGCTAACTGTGTTTAGTTTAAACAAGCAAATAGGATATGATTTTTTTTTGTTAGTTCAGAACGTGGTATGTAACAGACTCATGTTCTGGTGGGTATTGGGAGTGAATGGTCTGCTTTCATGAAGTATATGTCTGCTTCCCACTGAGAGGAGTCCTGGAAATCCTGACTCAGCCATCGAAGCAGTCTGGAAATTGTCTGAGCAGCATTAGCTCAGAAACCTGCACCAAGAGCCTGTATTTGGACATATCAAACGTTCAGATAATCTTTTCCCAGGAGTCTGAGACTTGCCTTTGTTGGAGACACAAATTCCAGCCCGTAGCATAAAGCAGAGACTTCAGACAATCCCCACAGGAAAACAGAAACCTATTTGAAAATGAGAGTGAAAGGCTGTGGTTAATTTATTATAGGAACCAAAAATCCAATGGTGGGAGTAAAATTCTATTGGACTCTGGTACAAAGCATTTCACAGAGAGAAATCTATATTTCCCTTTAAGATAAGAATATATTTTGGACAGAGAAAGCAATGAAAAATTCCATAAAGTACATCATATGGAAAAAAACGTATTAACCACATTTTTACCCACACTAACTTAATCTAAGGAAGGCTGAACATCCCTTCTGCTCTGACAGTTCTTCCCATGCAGCTTTTATAATAGAATTAAGCTAATTAAGAAGCATGGAACATGAAATAATCACAATCATTTCTAGCATCCCCCCTCTCTCTTTTTCAATAAATGAAGGAACATATTGCTGTAATTTTGTAGGGGTTCTTTAAGAAGTCCTGGAGAGGGTTTTAGGTATAAAGATGTCCTTGTTCTATCCTCTAATTTTAGGGCCTGAGTTTGGGACAACAAAACCAAATGAGTTAAAAGGAAATTCTGTCATTTGATTGAGACAGGCTCATGAGGTGCCTGAGAAGCAATAACTGGTTACCAATGTAATCAAAAATAAAATGATCCTAAATTATTTTAAAGTTAATATAGCAAGGAATCATGACTATAAAGAACTTTGTCATAAGTAAGGATTTTAAAGGAATAGACCCTATCTAGGTCACCTGGCACTTTGAGAACTGAACCAATGAGCACCACAGACGTGGAACATCCAAACAACACCGTGAAGACTCTGGGAACCAAACTGACGTTGGGACCACTGTCTGCAGAAGGCAGGTTATAATTTTGAGCTTCAACCTAACCAGATTCATTTCCTACTGAAAAAAAAAATCAACATTTCCATAGGATTAAAAAAAAAAAAGAAAAAGATTCAGGGTCTCATTACATGTTATAGTGAGCAGCATACAAGTCAAAATAAGTCCATTTATCCCAATAAGGGAAATCTCAACTCACATGGTGACAGATGACACCAATATTAGAATTATCTGACAAAAATTTAATCCAGCTGTTATACAAATGCTGTAATAGGCAATCACACACACAATGAAACCAATAGAAATACAAGTACAAAGTGTGAGCAGAGAAAGAGAAGATACGAAGAAAAACCTTGTGGAAATTTTAGAACTGAGCAGCACCGTAACTGAAATTAAAGAATTCACTGGATGGGCTCAATGGTGGTTTGGAGTTAACAGAGGGAAGAGTCAATGAATTTGAATATAAACTGGTGAAAATTAACCAAGCTGAATATTAAAGGGAAAAAGTGTTGAGAAAATGTAGGAGAATAATGAAGAGTGTGGCATTATGTCATCAGATTATCAGAAAGAAAGAAATGAGAAAGAAATCAATGCTAGAATATACACAGGGTCTGGCACAAATAACGCCCCCTTTTTATTGCAAAATCATAAGCATGTCATTCTGTAACATAGCGATATCACACTCAAGCACACCATATGGCATTTTAGGTGACATGTTCAAATTAAAACTGTAAATTATTACACCAGTGTAATTACCCTGCCAACGATACTCAAGCAGGACTGACTTCTGCCAGACTCCTTATATAGGTATTTAAATAATAGCTGATAACTTCCTAATTTGGCAAAAGAAAAAGCCTACAATTTCAATGGACTGAGGAATCCTGCAAAAAAAAAAAAAAGATGAATTTAAAGAAACTCATGCCTACCACATTAATCTGAACAAAGTTCTGGAAAATTAAAGACAACGCAATCTTGAAAAAATTCAGACAGGGCAAAACGATGCATTATTTCTAAGTAATAGTGATTAAATTCCTGCAGATTTCTTATCAGGTATCATAAAAGCCAGGGAGAAATAGAATAACATGTTTTCATTGGTGAAAGAAAATAATTGTATATTCAGTAAAAATATTCTTCAACAGTGAAGGTGAAATAAAGACATTCTGGGTTGGAGGAAAATTGAGACAGTGTGAAGTAAGTGCTAAGTGAAGTTCAGAGACAAAAGGGAAATGATACCAGACAGCAGTTTGGAACCTTAGGGACAGAAGAAGAGCAACAAAAGTGATAAATATCTGTGTAAAAAGGGTAGACTGTTTTTATCTTTGAGTTCTTCAAAACAGGTTTGCTGGGGACAGCAGCGATTGTAAGTGACAATGTCTGGTGGAGTTTTTTCAGGCATGGAGAGGGGCTGTATGTATGACTACTCATACAGTGAAGGAGGAGGGGCCAAGGCACCTTCCTGCTGGTAAGTTTCCGGCCCTCAACCCGAAGTGGTAAAACTGTGTACGTAGGCTGAAAACATTTCAGTATGAGACTGCAATCCCCAGAGTCATCACAAATAGGAAACAAGTACAAAAAGATATAATCAAAATCTCAATAGAAACGTTAAAATGGAATATCAAAAAAGGGGTGGTTCAATGAACCTAAATGAAAGTAAGAAAGGTCAGACTCAGACGGAGGAAAACAGAAGGAAGAAATAGGGCCATTTGATAATGCTAGACCTGCCTGTGAGAATATCCGCGGTTGCATTAAATGTAAATGTCTAAATACACCAATTAAGAGACAGAAATGGCCAGAATGGGGTTAAAAATAGGACCCTACTCTATGCTGTCTATAAGAAAGTTCCTAAACGACCAAGGAAATTTTGTTGTGACCGTTCTCATATTAAACCTGAATTATGTAAGGCCTCATTATGAATTCTCTTTATCTCTCTCTCCCATGCATATTTCTCACTGCCCCACACTCCACTTTCTCAAATGGTATTATCTTCATTTTACAGTGATCTCTTGGTGAGCATAGTGCCAGACACATAAGATCTCAGTATATTTCCATTATAAAAAAAAAGGAGTCTCTTCAAATTTCTTTGACTCAAAAGTGCTTGCACAGAATTTGCTGATTTTCTTAAGTCAGTATGGCTTATTTCAGGTAGACCTCTAGGTCAGAATTGCTTCAAACCATCTCCTATTTTTCCATAATGGCCTGTGATGCATTTCAATTTAAAAATGGGATGATGTCATAACTAATAAATATAGTAAAAATGCAAATTATGCATATAACACTGTGCTCTTTAATAAGACTAATGCCTTTTGTCTGATTTTTTTAATGATGAATGTCTAACAGAAAGTGTGTGAGAGAAGACCCCTCATTAAGTAACAAATAAACTAAAACTAACTAATCCTTCACAAACATTTGCTTCTTTTCTTTTTTTCTGTTCTGATGCATGCCATTACCCTGGTGACTGACCATGCCATAGGGGAGCCAGAGTCAAGGTCAGAAGTTGGTCTTCGAGGATTCTAGCACGCTAAGGCAATAATAGCTAATACCCAAGCGTGACTCTAGCCTCGATCAGACACTTGCTTCTTTATTGAGTTTTTTACTCTAATCACAGTATCAACCTTATCTAATGTTTCTGACCATTTGCCATGACAGAATGTGCCTTTCATTCATTTTCTCATTGAATGTACTAAATGTACAAAATCGATACAGAAGGATAGCAAATGAAGAGGCTTTCAAATCAGAAGACTCGAGTTTGAGGTTCAGACACTTAATTTACAAATATCTTAAATTCTTTGAGTCTTTGTCTCATTAGCTGAAAAAATGGCAATGGAACCATCAGGTCCACTCACCTCCCAAGGCCATTTTAAAGATAGGACGGCATCTGTACAGCCTTTCAAAGTCTTTCAGGGATTTCGCAGATATTGCCCACTTCCAATTTAATGCTCTTCCTACTATATCAGGTACCATCTTCATTTAACAGAAAGAGCCCTTAGATAACATGATTTAAGCGTATCCATATCAGCACTAAAGCAGTGGTTCTTTCATGCCCAGATTATCCTCATTTTCATCAACACAATCTCCTCGAAGAAATAGTCCTGTAGACCTTCTGTGGATGCTTTCTTATACCCATGGAGGAGTCAGTATACAGGCCTGATGCCAGGATACACAAGAGAAAGGCAAGGGAATGCACGTGGGCGGCTTAACATGTCCAGTCACTGGACAAAGAATGCAGGCTGCATCTACATGAGGTCTAACTAGCATTCCACCCAGCAAAAGTCAATTTTGCCCGAAGATGGCAACTTCCTAGAAGATTAACTTCCTCTATGTTTGCTAGGGCTGCCGTAATAGATTTTTCTCACATTTCTGGAGGCCAAAAGTGTGAAATTATTTATTGGTGGGACTGGTTTCTTCTGCGACCTCTCTCCATAGCTTGCAGTTGGCTGCCTTTTCTCTGTGCTCCCCTGGTCATTCTTTGTCACCTGAGCTCTTCTGATGATGATTAGGGCCCATGCCAGTGATCTTATCTAACTTTCATTACCTCTTTAAATACTCTGTGTCCAAATACAGGTGCATTCAAAAGTACTAAGGGTTAGAACCTCAACATATAAATTAGGGGGTGGTGCACAATTCTGCTCCTAACCGCCATCCCTAATGATGCCTTACCCATTTTCATGGGCTGATAACTCTCAATTTTTTTCTTCACCAACATTAAGAAGTTCCTGAGTCACTCAACATGGAATATGAGATAATCCATTGGATTATAAACGCAGCTCTCAAGGTACTGATGTAAAGCGAAGACCTATGCCATTGAACACAGACTTCAGTAAACTGAAGTGCATGGGTCCTGGTCCTTCCAGGAGTTACCTGTTTGAAAACAAGTGAAGATGATGTTTGATGAGAAACTTGGAGCAAACTCATTCTGTGCTGTACTGGAGTCTATTCCTGGCAATGCACAGAGGAAGGAGGTGCTTGCTAGATATATTATTGGGGTGTTGACCCAACAAGCATTAGCGTTAATTCTACTCAGTGAGACTGAAACCACATCTGAAGTCACTCCACCGAAGGTAGGCCACAGTGTCAAGGAAAGGCATAGGGGCCCTGGTCACAGAGCCTTCCGCCTGAGAACAGCAGTGCCTGTCGGGACCTTCCTCTGCCTCAGAGGAGCGAATTTCCTTTCCTTTCCTCTGGCATTCTCTTTTCTCCTTACTGACATTTCAAGAAGTTCCTCTCTCAGGCCATCCAAAGGAACAATTTTTATAATTTTGTAGTTTCCGAACAGAAGCAGACCAGCCAGTCTTTCTTCTGCACCGGAAGAACAGACCAAGTCACACTGTGTCTCACTAATTTATTTGTTTATTTAGTTTCAAAGAAGAAACGAAGGAAAAGAGAAGGATGGGGCTGTAGGCTATGCAAAAATCACTCTGTTCAGGAAATAAATCAGACTGAGTCTCATAAACCTCTCTTTGTCTACAACAAAACAAGTTTGCAAACTGATGGTTGTGTCCCTGAATTTGGTAAGGAATTGCATAATAACATCAGTTAGGCCAAAAAGGCTCCAATAAATCAATCTTTACTAAACATAAAATGAGACTTGGCAAAGTTGAAGAAGAAAAGGAAGAAGCCGAAACATGCTCATGAAATTTCCACATTAAAAACTCATCGCTCTTGCCTGGGTCCTGATGCAATTTGAAAGGAAACAGACAATTCTATAATTTTAGCAAAAATATTTATGGTACCATATACAAGTCCACCAAAACATTCTCTCCCAAGTTCTTAAAAAAAAATCAGCATTCCTTATCCTAGTAAAGCAGCTGCTAAAATAAGTGTAATTTTAGTGTATTTCAGAACATTCTGGATTCTAATGATAAAAAATGCACAAGTGCTTCCATTATTTCCATCTCTCCCCCGCCATCCATCAAAGGACTCTTCAGCCACATGCCCTGTGGCCCTTCTTTACTTCTTCATACCACGCTACTAGGGAAACTTGTAGTTTGACACACATAGACCTAAGAATCAAGGTCAGTTGTTCAATATTTCAAAGACAAGGTCAAAGATCAAGTTGCAGAGGAAAAAAAAAAAAGGAATTTAAGTCAAAAACACTGTTTTTAAATTCTGGCCCTGAGAAAACTCTGTAAGTCTAGGTTTTAAATATGCAATATTTTGGAAAATATATATGTGCATTTATATGAAGAATATATAAAACAAATGTATGAAAACATTCTTATTTACATCATGCTAAGTTATTGTAAAGGTTGGATCAAAGAGGAAAGGACATGGGGAAAGCTTTTAAAATCATGTATTTGTTAATTCATTTACACATTCAGCAAACATTTTTGAGCGTACATTTAGTGCCAGACGGGGTTGCAACGATCAGATGAAGTCTCTGGCCTCAAGGAACTCAGAATCTAGTGCAGGGACCAGATGTGCCAACTGGTGTTTGTCAGTCAGTGTGAGAGCTGGGAACTGAAGGATGCACAGCAATGTGAGGAGAGAACCAATGGGGACAGATGAACATCAGCCAAGTAAACAGTAACATTCTGACCTTGAAATATCCATATCACACTCTTTCTATCTCACTCCCGTGTGTCTGCAAAGGGTAAAATATGCCCTCAACTCTCTGTATCCCCTCTGGCAGTACAGTTCAGAAATCAAAGCTCAACTTCTCTCCATGGACACTTGAGAAATGTGAGAGAATTCTGCTTCTGAAGTGATTTAAACTCCATGACTCCTGCAGATTCTTAACTCCCTTGTTTTGGAGAGATATCAAACTTAGATGGTTAAATAAAGGTGAAACTCTAAACTGCTGGCCGGCAAACCTATTCTGTAAAAGGCGAACTAGGAATTATTGTAGGTGTTGAAGTCTTTGTTGCAACTGCTCAACTCTGCTATTGTATCAGGGAAGCAGCCACAGACAAGCCATAAACAAATGTCCAGGACAGTGTTTCAATACACTTCATTTACATTGACATTTGAATTTCATATAATATTTACATCTTAAGAAATAGTCTCCTTCTTCATTTAAAATAGCTAAAGATCACCACCCAGGGTGAGAATGCTACAGTTTTTTTTTTAAATCCAATTAACTTTCCCCTGAATTCCAAACCCCTGACTTACACTTTGTTCTCCTTATAAAGGGCCATTTGGAAATGGAATATAAGACTGTCTCTTAGGGTACAAACCCGCCATCTTCTCAGATCACTGTCCATGTGAATAAAATGCCCATAAAGATTTTTTTAAAAAAGTAAAAACAGTCTTCAGTCATGAGACATATAAAAATAGCAGGTGAATCTGATTTAGGCTGACCCCTGCTCAAAACCATGAATTGCCAGGTATGGTGTGTGGCAATCCCAGGGACTTGTACTGATCATAATCTTTCAAATTTTAATTAGTTTAACTCATATTTATTTTTAAAATTAGTGTGGGAGGGATAAGAGGTGCTGGGAAACTCAAGGAGAAAAAAGGGAGTAAAGAAGGGAGGGGTCAGAGAAGCTGATGGCATCCTGTATCACACAAACATTAATGGAATATTGCACCATGAAAAGAGAAAGGGGATTATTATTTTATTTTGTCATTCTTGAAACTGAAGGGAAAGTTAGATGTTAAATTAAGATTAATTAATTAATCTAAATTAATTCCATTAAAAGTTAAATCTGTATCATTATGGTCCAGATGCCAGGGTAAGGAGTTTTTTCGATTTTATTATAGTTGTTCCCAGAGGTACTTAGAATTCTCCTAGTTCCTTAAAGGTTAACATGAGGTTGCGTGTGGGGGCAACTTTGCCCGCAAAGTCCCCCCGTCCACCATGGATTAAAGTGAAACTACTAAGACATGATCTGCTTGAGGAGGAAAGGTGGCCAGTCCCTTAAAGGAGAAGGGCCAAGAGCTCCTTCCTCAAGGGGCTTTTATTGGGTTTGTTTGTACAAGAATCCAGGTAAGGATCAAACAATAGATAGCATTCAAAGAACTATGAGGGCTTATTCTCAGTCAGGGTCAGATGGCTAAAGAGCCATAAAACTTTGAGGAACCAACTTCTTGCTTGGACCCTTATTGTTTAAACGAGGGCATTCTAAACAAAGCAGGTTTTGCAGGATTTTTATATATTCTTTCTTAGGCCTGATCACCTGGGGAACCCACCCTTTCCAGCACAGGGCTGCACTGCCTTCCCCAACATAGGCTTTTAGGCTTAAGTGGATTAGAGCCAGGAAGCCCTACTCCCAGATGGAAATGGGGACTTGGGCTATTTCAGAATAGCCAGGGGGCAAGGTTCCATCACTCCCTCTTTGTTGCAGCCCCCCGAATCTTTCCATGATAGCCTCCCAAGTGATTGTGTCTGGCTTAGGTTGCCCCTCCTCTGAGGGGTCATACTCGTCCTAGACTAACCGACCAAGCATTGGGGGCAGGGGACAAGCTTTGTCTCCTTAACGGCTTGCATTCTGGAGGTCACTCACTCAGCCTTAGCCCTGGGGGTAGTTACAACTCCTGAAACCAGGCAGAGTGGTTCCCAACAATTGGGAATGAAGAGACAGACATATATGAGCAGATAGCACAGAGGCTGCATTCCTCATGGCC